ATCACCTAGGGCCGCCTCTGGGGCCAGCTAACACCTTCCAACAAAGGATCCCCAAGCAGGAAGCAGGCAGAACAGCCTTGAAGCTGTAAGGCTTTTCAATGCTAGTCAAGGTGGCCAACTGTAACATTCACACTTGTCTCGAGGGATATTGACAAGCTGGAATGTATCCACAGAAGGGCAAACAAAATGATCTATGATCTGGAAGCCTGTCTTGGGGGAGCGGGGCGATCCTTTGTTGGTAGGTGTTACCTGGCCCTGACAGGAAGCAGCCAAGCTTTGAAGCTGCAAGGCTTTTCAATGCTAATCAAGCTGGCCAACTGAAACATTCACGCTTGCCTCAAACAAACAAGAGTTCTTTCTCCCACCCTGGACTTTCCACAGATATATAAACCCCACGAGTTTCCAACAGACCTCATGACCTCTGAGGATGCCTGCCATAGATGCGGGCAAAACGTCAGGAGAGAATGCTTCTGGAACATGGCCATACAGCCTGGAAAACTCACCACAACCCAGTGATTCTGGCCATGAAAGTCTTCGACAACTCAACTTATAATCTCCCTGGAACAGACCATAGAATTGGAAGAGACCTCATGAGCCATCCAGTCCAACCCCCTGCCAAGAAGCAGGAAAATCACATTCGAAGCACTCCATTGCCAAAAAAAAGTCTAATGGTAGGGTCATCACATGTTGGAATGAATCAAAAGCACCCAACACAACAAATGTTAGATTGTGAGGAGACTTTATAATCATCAATCTGGAATGGTATGAAGGATAAGACTCTTACAAGGTCAATTTCCCTAATGTATGGCTAACTTGACAGCCAGATCCCACAGATCCCAAGCAGGAGATGACTAGCGTCATGAAACAGAGCTTCCAGGCAGGTGTGAATCCCAAGTGCCTGTATTAAATAAACTAACTTCTCCCAAATACTTGCTCACAGACCAACAGTGAATCACTTTGGTTTGTCTTCCTCATACACCGTGACAAAGCAATAAATTACTCTGCATCATCACACGACCAGGTAAACCTTGACCCAGCTTCTAAGGTGTCCCAACAGTTCCTTCTCACCAAAGGTGCATCTACACCAGGCATGGGCCAACTTGGGACCCCCAGGTGTTTTGGACTTCAACTCCCACCATTCCTAACAGCCTCAGGCCCCTTCCTTTCCCCCTCAGCCACTTAACGGCTGAGGGGGAAAAGGAAGGGGCCTGAGGCTGTTAGGAATGGTGGGAGTTGAAGTCCAAAACACCTGGAGGGCCCAAGTTTGCCCATGCCTGGATAAGTGCTTCTAGAGCAGTGGTTCTCAACCTGGGGTCCCCAGATATCTTTGGCCTTCAACTCCCAGAAATCCTAACAGCTGGTAAACTGGCTGGGATTTCTGGGAGTTGTAGGCCAACAACATCTGGGGACCCCAGGTTGAGAACCACTGCTGTAGAACGAATGCAATGCAACAACACTTTTAACTGCCAAGGCTCCATGCTATGGGATCCTGGAAGTTGTAATTTTACAACGCTCCTCTGCCAAAGAGCATTAGCACCTCACCAAACTACAAATCCCAGGATTCCACAGCATGGAACCAAACTGGATTGATTCCATTGTGTGGATCAGTGGTTCCCAACCTTTTTTTTCCTCACCACTTGATCAGGAACCACTTTCCAAAATTAGTACCAAAAGGGTTACAAATCGGTTTAGATTCAGTTTGGTTATTTGGAGTGCTGATTTGGAAAATTGCATTGGCTAGACCACATCAGCTCTAGTTTCTGATACAGAATATATGCCATCCAGTAGTCGCTATCTGCTCACCCACAAAAAAGGTCTCGGCGCTATAAGAGGGTTTTGTGAGACCAATCGCTCTAGTTGCAATGGTGTAGTAAAGGTGAGGCGGCAGACCATATTTGAGTTCTTGCGGAGCACTGGAGGTCTACGGACCACAGGTTGGGAACCACTGATGTAGATGCACCCCAAATACTATATCTGAGTTATCGATACCAGACGATGGTTCATTTTTTCTGGAGGGACACCCAACGGGTTGCAACTAACAGCCTGATCGCCGCAGCCTGGTTGCCAAACCGGATTCGGTTCCCAGCAGAATATGATAGAAATGGCCAGCAGGCAAAAGGCAGGGGTGTGGATGCAGAAAAAGAAAAGTACAGCGCTTAGCACTCTTATTAGCACAGCGGAAAGGAAAAGCGAGGGACAAAATAACTGTAGAACTTGGGAAAATTATACCAGACGATGATGAAAACTCTTTTTGCAAGATTGTAACTGTTTTTAATGTATTTGGGGATGTTCAATCTGAAAAGTATCATAACAACAGGTACATCTCCACTGTAGAATTAATGCAGTTTGACAGCACTTCAACTGTCAAGACACAACGCTATGGAATCATGAGTGTTGTAGTTTTCTTTAGCCTTCTCGGCCCATAAGTGCTGGTGCTTTGTGAACTACGAATCCCAGGATACCGTTGTATTGGGCCCCGGCAATTAAAGTGGTAATCAAACTGTATTAATTCAACAGTGTAGAGGTATTTAGTGACATATCACACTCAATTCTTTCCACAATTCCATATTATGGTGCTGCCCCAAACTACTACTACTACTACTACTAATAATAATAATAATAATAATAATAAAACTTTATTTATACCCCACCTCCATCTCCCCAAGGGACTCGGAGTGGATTACATGAGGCCAAGCCCAACAACACATCAATAAACAAGAAAGCAATAACAAAAAATAACAACAATACAATTAAATAAATCACATATAAACATGCAAGGATTTAAAAACCTATGGATTCCATTGTATTAAGCCCTGGCAATTAAAGTGGTATCAAACTGTATTAATTCAACAGTGTAGATGCACTCAGTGTCGCACCACACACATACCCCTTTCCACAGTTTGACATTCTGGTGTTGCCCCAAACTACAAATCCCATTTTCCCATAATACTGAGCCCTGGCAATTAAAATGGCATCAAATTGCATCAGTTCAACAGTGTAGATATACTTAGGGTCATACCACACACGCTTCTTTCCACAATTCAATTTTCTGGTGCTGCCCCAAACTACAAATCCCATGATGCCATAGTATTGAGCCCTGGCAATTAAAGTGGTATCAAACTGCATTAATTTAACAGTGTAGATGTACTCAGGGTCACACCACACACACACACACTTCTTTACACAGTTTCACACCACACACACACACCCTTTTGCACAGTTTGATATTCTGGTATTGCCCCAAACTACAAATCCCATGATTCTATAATACTGAGCCCTGGCAATTAAAGTGGTATCAAACTGCATCAATTCAACAGTAATAGATTTACTCAGTGTCATACCACACACACGCTTTTTTCCACAATTCGATTTTCTGGTGCGGCCCCAAACTACAGATCCCATGATTCCATAGTATTGAGCCCTGGCAATTAAAGTGATATCAAAATGCATTAATTCAACAGTGTGTATGTACTAAATGTCATACTACATACACTGCATCCTTCCACATTTCCATATTGTTATCTATTCCATTTTGACTAAGCTGATGTTCCTAGTAGATTGCCTTCCATTCCTTTAAATGAACGTTTACCTTTCACATCAACAAAGAAGATGTCCTGGAAGCCTGTTAGAAGACTTTAAACCCAAATCCTCCTGTGTACTCTTCACTCCCCAAAGAAATCTTACTAAGTCACATATTACAAAACGTGAAACCAAGTGGCTGAGGAAAAAGTACATGACCGACCGAGCAAATCTGAGCATATTTTTAGGATTGAGAATGCCAGTGTCCTGAAAAACCTGCATAGATTTTTGGAAAGGGTTTACGAGCCACAATTTTGCAGTTTCCCCCCACTTGAACAGCTGTGGCTCGATGCTGAGGAATACTGGGATTTGTAGTTCACAAAGCACCAGGAGTCTTTGGCAGAGAAGGCAAACGACATTGTGAAATGACAGAGTTGTTATTTTGGGACAAAGACTTCCATAATCCCCCAGTTTGGATTGCTTAAGGGTGCATCTACACCAGGCTTGGGCAAACTTGGGCCCTTCAGGTGTTTTGGACTCCAACTCCCACCATTCCTAACAGCCTCAGGCCCTTTCCTTTTCCCCCTCAGCCGCTTAAGCAGTTGAGGGGGAAAAGGAAGGGGCCTGAGGCTGTTAGGAATGGTGGGAGTTGGAGTCCAAAACACCTGAAGGACCCAACTTTGCTCATGGGTGATCTACACTGTAGAATGCATGCTATCTGACATCACTTCAATTACCATGACTCAATGCTATGGAATCCTTGGAAGTTGTAGTTTAGTGAGGCACCAGCACTCTTTGGCAAAGAAGGCTGAAGACACAGTTAAACTACAACTCCCAAGGTTTCCTAGCATTGAGTCATGGTAATGTTGCATTGGGTCTGCGATATAATTATTACATCCTTAATGTTGTTTTTGGATTATGCCAAACCTGGGTTCGAATTCCCACTTGTCCATGGAAACGTGTTAGATGCCTTTCAGCAAATCCCATTTTCTCAGCCTTAGAAGGAAGGCAAGCCTCTTGTAAGCCACCCCGAGTCCCCTTGGGGAGATGGTGACAGGGTATAAATAAAGGTATTATTATTATTATTATTATTATTATTATTATTAAGAAGAAGAAGAAGAAGAAGAAGAAGAAGAAGAAGAAGAAGAAGAAGCCTTGCCAAGGAAAACATACGTTGGCAATGAATTGAAGGCATCCGACACAACCAACATCAGATGGTGATGATGAGTCTCATCACTTTGGAATGGTATGTATTGCTCAGTGCATGGCAATCCTGGGAGCTGTAGTTTCCCAAGGTCTTTTGCCTTCTCTGCCATAGTAGTGCCTCACCAAACTACAATTCCCATAGCATTGAAGCGGTGCCAAACTGCATCCCATTCGACAGTGAAGGTGCACTCTAGGGAGATTCCTCCAAAGCCAGGTAACCTTCCCAAAGCCTGCCCAACCTCGCCCAGGTAGAGTTTTCCTCCTCGCCTACTTACCACAGCTGAGTAATAGTCTCAATCCAAGTTCCAAACTTCTCTTTTGCCTCCTCATGGCTTTTTCTTTTTCCCTCTGTGTGTGGATTTCAGCCTTTCAGGAGAATGAGCAGGCCAAAGAAGGTGCTGCAGGTAACCCAGCGGACAGGTGGACTGAGAAAGAGGCGGTGCTCCCAGACTCTTGCCTCCTTCCTTAGGATGACTGACAAGCTGCCCAACCTGCTGGGGTGGAGTTGGGCTCTCAGGCCCAGCCAATCACCTGCTTGCTCTCCTGGGCGTGATTTGCATACTCACCTGTCACCAGGCCAGGTGGGGCCTTCCTCCATCTCCTTGCTCCAGTGAAGATTGGCTGCTGTTTGGCCCCACTTTAACTGGCATAGCTCAGTGTTATGAAACAATAGGAGTTGTGGTTCTACAACAGGCATGGGCAAACTTCAGCTGGTAGGCTGTTAGGAATTGTGGAAGCTGAAATCCAAAACACCTGGAGGGCTGAAGTTTGCCCATGCCTGTGTCTACCAGCTGTTAGGAATTGAGTGAGCTGAAGTCCAAAACACCTGGAGGGCTGAAGTTTGCCCATGCAGTTTGAACTGCCATAGCTCAATGCTATGGAATCTTGGGAGTTGTAGTTTGAGGAGGCCCCAGCACTCTGGCAGAGAAGGTGGAAAACTGCCAAGGTGCAATGCTATGGGATCATGAGACTTATCGTTTTACAAGGTTTTCAGCGTTCCCTGTCATAGAGCTTTGGAACCTTACTAAACTACAAATCCCAGGATTCCATACCTTTGAGCTATGGCAATTCAAATGAGGTCAAACTGCACATATTCTTGAGTGTAGATCCACCCAGGCTCTCTCCACCACTTTTCATTCATGTTATATTGTTTCTTTCCCACAAAACACAAGAGAGGAGTAGGGAAGAGCCCCAGAAGTCTGGAAAGTTACTTTTTTCAGATGGCGATGCAGGTTTCCACATTTCAGAAGTTGCATCTACACCAGTGGTTCTCGACATGTGGGCCCCCAGATGTTTTGGCCTTCAACTTCCAGAAATCCTAACAGCTGGTAAACTGACTGGGATTTCTGAGAGTTGTAGGCCAACTCCCAGGTTGAGAACCACTGAGCTATACTATATTGCAAGTCGCTTCTGGTGTGAGAGAATCAGATGTTGCCCAGGGGACATCAGGATGTGTTACTATCCTGCGGGAGGCTGCTCTCATAACCTGCGGATCAAAACCAGATACAGTGAAGACATCTGCCCTTGCGCTTTGCTTCTCCACTGCTAAATAAGCATTGCCAGTGTGGAATACATCTCACCACATTAAACCAGTGGCTGTGGCTCTTAATGAGACATGCCACATTATCACAAGATGTCTACCGCATGCACCACTGGAGAAATTATACTGTTTATCTGGCATTGCACCACCTGATATCCTTTAGAAAGTAGTAGCGAGGAATTAAAGGAACAAGGCAGTGTCATCTCCAGCCCATCCTCTGTTCAGATATCAGCCAATATGCCAATGACTTAAATCAAGAAACAGCTTCCTAAGATGTAGAGATATAGAGATACACCTCAGCAAGCAAGAGTCCAAAAGTGGCAGCCTAAAACCCAGCACCTTAATCAGTGGCTGGGACCGGATGAGAAACTCCCTCCTGGGCACACAGGCTTGCGCTCTGGCACCACAAAATGCAGAGCTAACCTTAAGAAATGGGGCCACAAAGTGGAGTCCAGGAGTCCAGGATATGTGAGTATGAAGAAGAGCAAACCACAGACGACCTACTAGAATGAGACCTGAGCCCTGCCACATACTCAATGGAGGACCTTCTCACAATGACATCAGAGGCACTCCAAGTGGCCAGGTTGTGGTCGAAGGACATTTAGCATAATGCCATTTTAAAAGTTTGTTTATGTTTTTAAACGCATTTTAACTGTGCCCTCAAGTTCCCAGTGGCGCAGTGGGTTAAACTCTTGTGCCAGCAGGACTAAAGACCGACAGGTTGCAAGTTAAAATCTGGGGAGAGCATGGATGAGCTCCCTTTGACAGCTTCAGCTTCCCATGCGGGGACATATGAGAGAAGCCTCCCACAAGGATGGTGAAAACATCCAGGCATCCCCTGGGCAATGTTCTTGCAGATGGCCAATTCTCTCACACCAGAAGCAACTTGCAGTTTCTCAAGTCGCTCCTGACACAGAAAAAAAAAACTGTACCCTCAACTTGCTTCTGACACTATAAATAAAAACAAATAAATAGTTTTTAAAATTAAAACAGCAAAACAGCAGAGGGAAAACAATCAGGGACATCTAATCACCTCTCAACAAAAGATTGCTCCAGGCACTGCCAGGCCATCTAATGCTGGTCAAGGTGGTCAGTTGAGACATTAGCGCCTAGCTCCAGCAGCCAAGAGTTCTTTGTCCCGCCTTGGTCTTTCCACAGATATGTGGACCCATTTTCCTGGTTCCAGCAGACCTCATTACCTCTGAGGATGCTTGCCGTGGATGTGGGCGAGGCGTCAGGAGAGAATGCCTCTAGAACATGGCCATATAGCCCGAAAAAACCTACAACAACCCAAATAAATAGTGGGTTTGCAGCTTCTTAAATATGTATAGAACCTCACCCTTTGACTGTGGGAGAACTTTCCTCAAGAAGAAGCCTTTCGTGAATGTGAAAGCTTGCATTTTCTGACATTAGCATAAGAAAGTTGGGTGGAAGGCAGCAGTTTATTTGCTTTGTATCCTTAATGGAGGCAGTGCCGACTATCTAATGTGCTTTTGAATATGGAAATCAGTTTGCATTCCTTAGCTCAGTCTTCCCAGCCAATGATCTCCGGATGTTTTGAAATGGAACTGCACCGCTCATTCATAAACCCCAGTTAATATGACTACTTGCTCAGAACAATGGGAGTTGTAATTTAAAACCATGTTGGAAAAAGACTGCTTCAGGACACCTTAATTTGGAACAGTTATTATAGCTGGAGAGCAAAGGCAGGAAATATAGATTTACTCATATTTGCATGCAAAGTCTTTCTCAGATGGAAGTTGAGTTTGGAAGTTTTGGAATGGATCCTACTATGCATGTTCCCAACTCATTTTTATATGGCGTCCCTTTATTCCAGTCTAAAGCAGTGGTTCTCAACCTTCCTAATGCTGCGACCCCGTAATACAGTTCCCCGTGTTGTGGTGACCCCAACCATAAAATTATTTTGTTGCTACTTCAGAACTGTAATTTTGCTACTGTTATGAATTGTCATTTAAATATCTGATATGCAGGATGTATTTTCATTCACTGGGCCGAATTTGGCACAAATACCCAACACACCCAAATTTGAATACTGGTGAGGGGTTGGTGGGGATTGATTTTGTAGTTACTGGGATTTATAGTTCACCTGCAGTCAAAGAATATCCTGAACTTCACCAATGATGGAATTGAACCAAACTTTGCACACAGAACTCCCATGACCAACAGAAAATACTGGAAGGGTTTGGTGGGCATTGACCTTGAGTTTTGGAGTTGTAGTTCACCTACATCCAGAGAGTGACATGGACTCAAACAATGATGAATCTGGACCAAACTTGGCACGTATACTCAATATGCCAAAATGTGGAGACTGGTGGAATTTGGGGAAAATAGACCTTGACTTTTGGGAGTTGTAGTTGCTGGGAATTACAGCTCACCTACAACCAAAGAGCACTCTGAACCCAGCCCACAATGGATCTGCACCAAACTTAACACACTACCTACATGGCCAAAATTGAATACTGGTGAGGTTTGGGGGGGGGGGTAGTTTTTGAATTCTGGGAGTTGTAGTTCACCAACACCAAAAAGGAAGAGAAGGACAGGTGGAGACATCTTCACCCTTCTCTGCCAAAAGGGTTCCCAAGACTATCAGAAATATGTGGTGCCCCCTTTGAAACTCCCCTTGCGACCCCCAACCCAAGGGTCCCGACCCCTAGGTTGAGAAACACTGACCTAAAGATTAGAAAACAAACAAGATATGCTGTAGAAAGTTCAAGGTTTTGATCTTTGTCATCTTTCTCTAAGTTACCCAGACCATTATCAGATTAAAGACATAGCAAAACATTAAAAATTGGTGTAGAGGCACCTGTGGCTCACAGAGAAACAGGGACTGAGGTTGCAGTGCATGAAAAAGGTATATTTAGGGCTGTGAATTATGGTAATCATGACTTTGTCACATGGTTTCATTGTGTGGACCTGTCACAGGTTCCCACGGCAGGGACTCGGGTTCAATCCTCAGACATTCCAGGAGTTCCCAAGCTTTGCGTTTCCAGCTGAGAGGCACGTGAAGGGTGATTCAACATCTGTCAGGGAAATTAAAGGTTTCCTGTCCCGCCACATGTGAGTTGGGACCTGTCATAGTCGACAGGTGAGGCCTCCAGCGGCAAGAAACGAAGGGGAAGGAGCCTTCTGTGGCTCTGATAACTGTTGCTCCTGTCCCAAGGCTGTGCTAAGGTGCTTCTTTCTGGGTGTGGATGTTTTGTCGGGCAGATGTAAAGCCAATTTTAGAGCCACGTGGCTGGTGTCATGGCTGGAGCATGACTTCGGCTGCCAGGTTAATCCCAGGGACACGTTCCTCTCCAGCTGTGAAATCTATACATCAGGACTTGAACTAGCCATAATCTCTCAGACTAATCTGCCTCACAGGGTTTGCTGTTGGGAGCCAGAAAAAGTTTTAGTATGCAAGTAAAATAAAAAACAAAGAAATAATATGTTCTCAAAGGCTTTCATGGCCTGAATCACTGGGTTGCTGTGAGTTTTCTGGGCTGTATATGGCGTCCCTTTATTCATGTTCCAGAAGCATTTTCTCCTGATGTTTCGCCCACCTCTATGGCAGGAATTCTCAAAGGTTGTGAGGTTTGTTGGAAACTAGGCAAGTGGGGTTTATCTGTCTGTGGAATGTCCAGGGTGGGAGAAAGAACTCTTGTCTGCTTGAGACAAGTATCAAAGTTGCAATTGACCACCTTGATTAGCATTGAATGGCCTTGCAGCTTCAAAGCCTGGCTGCTTCCTGTCAGGGCCAATTAACACCTCCCAACAAAGGATCCCCCCCCCCTCCCCAAGGACAGACTTCCAGATCGTAGATCATTTTGTTTGCCCTTCTGTGGACACATTCCAGCTTGTCAATATCCGCAGTCAATAAAGCCCGACTGCTCA